GATTTCCCAGAGCTGATTTACATTACTTAATCCATGTGGGAAAGATGTGAATGATGACCACAGAGAGCTCTGTTCCCGGCATTCTGCCTTTCCCCTGTATCTTTGCCATTAAATAGCGATTTTCAACACATTAACGGGTAACCTATAAAAAGGGCTCAGAGTCCTTGACAGGTTAAATGTTACATGTGTACAGAAAGCTACTCTCACTGCTAGCTGAAGCTTGAGATCTGTTAAATGTTTCACAAAAATACGCTTGCTCAGTATATGGCCATTCCTAATGGAAAACAATCAAATGGGGCATTGAAGCAGGAAAGCACAAAGGCAGGTTAAGTGGTCCTTCTTTGTGCCTTACTGCAGAGGCTGACCCCGAAGAGAGCTGAGAGGATGACAGCAAACGGCTGCTGGTGCTACAGTGCTGTGCTACAGTGGCTGTGCCCTGATGAGATACCGTAGCTTCAAATCCACCATTTAGAATCTGAAACATTTTCTCTCTGCTATATTCGTTTGGTAGCTAATGGCTACGCACTTTGCTACTAACATGTCTGCCCCCAGCAAGAGCAACAAGGCTGCATCGCGATGTGCGCTGTTTGCTGCATCAATTTTTACCTGCTGTTATTGCTGCTGGTGTTATTCTCCTGATAATACGTAGGCTAAGTGTGGATGGATTTAGAATGTTGCTGAATGTAAATACAGCTGCCTAGAAGACGTTGTGAATTGGAAGAAAAAGTCCTAAAATATGATACTTGAAGCCTATTTCACTTCAGTTCGCATAAGAAGCTAAAAATTTGTCTATTCTCAGAGTTCTGCCTTCCCTGGAGGAAAACTGCTTTCCTCTTCAAAAGTAGCGGTCTTTGATCCGGTGACAATCCAGCATTCACTCACGCTAGCAAAACCTCTTTCTCTCTTGCAAAATTACCGCTTAGGTGAATCCAGAGTCTTATATTAGGGAGAGGAACATGTACAGGTAAAGCTTTTATATCTAATGATTTACATACATTGACTGCATTGCATGGTTTAAGCAGTATGTAACTTACATTCAACTCCTTGCATATATAAAACATTAATATCAAAAAGCTTAAAATGTTTCATAGTAACTGCCCCACTATGCATGTATAGCATAATTCAGCCATCAGATTTTCTAATGCAAACCTCCTTCAGTTTCACAGCACCACAAGTATATTAGAGCATATGCAAATATTTATGTACTTAGGAAGGAAATTTCAATAAAAATGAGAATGCAAAAGAAGGTATGATCAGAATTAAGGAAAAACCATGGAAGCACTTAGCCTCTGATTAATAAAGCCTTAAACTAAGCAAAAACACCAATCTTGCATACAGCCAGCAACAGTCAGGGGTTCAAATGCTGCTGCAGCCACAAACTTCCTCTGTAATTATAGGCAAATTATTTCACCTGTCTTCTGTTACTCTTCTTTCTGACAGAGAGGCTGCCTCCCTTGTCTCACAGGGGCATTATAAGGCAGGAATTCAACAGCGGAAAAGAGATTTTTGAGTCCCAGATAGTGAGACAGAAAAGATTAACATGAGTTCTGATTTCTTTTGCCCCTTGAAGGAAGGCGCAGAATAACATATACATTGCCCATTATTTCTGTAAATTGTAGTCCAACCATGATACACATAGCCTGGGCTGATTTTTCCTGCTCTTATTCTGCATGAGTTCAGGTAATTTCTTTTGTTCTCCTGATAAATGAGGACAGCCTTCAGTGAAACTGTATTGCTTCTGCTGAGTCATTCCACAGCTGAGAATTGATGGTGAGAGGCATCAGTTTGTATCCTTGGTTTGCAGCATTCCTTTACCTGGAGAACTAACACTGTGAATCTCTCAGCAATATAAGCTGGAGACTTGCATTTAGGCTGGGCAAATTCCATAGATTATTTTATGAGGATGCGTGTTTTAATTCTTTCGTAAATGTATTTAAACCTGAGGGCTGCCTTATAAATGTGCCAGCTTCCCTGAACCAGGGCCTAGGGCCAGAACTGTCAGCAGTTAATACGAGAATTGGGTGAGACAATTTGTTAATTCAGCGAAGGAAAAATTAATAAAATCCATTATTAACTTCTCTTAGGTCTTATTAACAGTCAAACCCCCTGTGTTCCAAGGATCTCTGTTACCTTTCTTCTTCTCCCTTTTTGAACATTCACTCCAGGCAGGACAGACTAATTTGCAGAAAAGTTTTCACACTTCTCTTCCCCATTCTCCCACAGCAGAAATCAAAAAAAAAAATGTACCATCAGAGTGACTACATGAACATGACTCCCCGGCATCCACCATACCAGAAGAACAAGGGTTACCCCTCCTATGCGCCAACACGTGACTACACTGCATACCGGTCCTGGCAGCCGTGACACCCATCGGTAGCCTCGTGTGCTTCTAGGCAGTCACTTGCTCTTGGACGTGGAAGGACAGCCTCTCATTTTCTCATCATGTTTGTCGTTATTGATCACAGATACCTACACCATAGCAAGTATTGTCTAAACTTTGATATACTATACTAAAAGAAAAAACAAACAAACATAAGGCGGGGGCGGAGAAAAAAGGATCTCCATGATGGTTGAAAATGAGATACAGCTTGTGTTGAGGGTTGTCAGTAAGTAAGACAGAAAGATGGCACCAGACCTCAGAGTTGGTCTCCTCCTAACACTTGTAGTTTTGCTCCGCTGTTGGGAAAACCAGAACTTCTGACCTTTCCCAATAACTGCTGCCTTAGATTTAAACCTTATTTTCCTTTCTTGTATGTCTAATCCTCATAAACCCTTGTTGTAGTTATATCAGGCAACATGTTAAAAAAAAAGAAGAATCCCTTCTTCCCTATAGACCAGGGCACAGTTTGAAGTTCAAAACACATGCTTGAAAGAAAGAGGGAAAAGTCAGCCAGAAGGCATCACAAGCTATTAGGCTGTGGCAAAAATGGGCTGCCAGGACAAATCAAGCTGATGATAGAAAACGACTAAACTTTCAACTTGTGAGTCCTTAGGTTGGACACTTTGTAAATGTTCCTAAGGCCATTTGAAGTCATGAGCAAGCAGCTCCACAGAGTGAGAAAGTAATCAACCTGAAGACAAAATCAAGACAAGCAGGAGAGGAAGAAAGATCTGTTGTTGTCATGAAGAGCCCCACTTCTGTTTTGTTTGCTCCTACAGCAAGGGGACACAACATCATATGGGAAGCATTAGAAGACACAGACGTCAGATTCTGAGGAGAGCTTTACTTCCATATTTGAAATTTTGTTTCTGTCCAAAAGACATTCTGCTGAGTCCTCCTGAAAATCCACGCATATCTTCTACACCTAGGTTGTACCACAGCTGTTTTGAAAATCTGGGTCCAGTAATGAGCAATTAAAGATTCCTTGAATTTTTTTCCACAACACAAGCACCCACTTATTGGGAGGTGAGAGCGTCCTTTGTTCCCACCATTGTGATTTGGACCTGCAAGTGCTCAGCTGTCTGCAGGGACTGCTCTGGGCACTTCGAGGAGCTTTGTGTTGACTGGAGGTTACCTTTCTATCTGAAGATTTTCTTCAGGAATGCTCCATGCTGGAGTAGGACAAAGTCTTCAGCAAAACCTTCTTCATTCCTTCAATTAAGCATGTTTACATTAACAAGACATCCTACACTGTAATTGGGGTTGTCTTGGCATAAAATCCCTTTGCATACTGAGGAGATGGGGTTTATTTTATAGGGACTACTAAAAAATAATAAATCAATAAAAAATAAATCCATATTCCCACCTTGAAATAAAATTGGGATCGTACAACATTTACTTTCCTCCAAATTGGGGTAAATGATTCCTTCTCTCCTTGAGGGGACTTGACAAAAGTAGAGACGTGGAAGTGTGGCAACAATCTGTTTTGATTACTCAACACAAGAAAAAAACTTTGGCACTTCCAAATCGGAAGTTTTGTTGGAGTTTGCTGACTGGGCCCCAAACCATTCATTCTGAGTCATATTGCCATGTTCCAGGAGGGTGCTGTGCCACCTCCAGACAGCGATGAAGTGCCTGCTGTCCCCGAGCCAGGGACAGCTCGGCCAGGGCAGGGCGCAGAGCCCACAGCGGCAACAGCAAGCGAGGCCTGAGTGTCCACTGCCACAAGGCAGTGCTGTGCATTTGGCATGGGACTGCGGTCTTGGGCTGAGCAGGCCCCGACAGCTTTGCTCTGGGTCAGTTCAGAAAAACCAAAAGCTTATGATTGGGTTGAAGAACTTCAAAGCAAAGTGGTTTTATTTATTTCTTCTCCTTTCAGCCCCCCAAGGCTGACATTTTTCCACATACATTTTTTACGTTTTTTTCCCCCGAAAAGCCCCTTACTACGCCTTTGTACTACAGCCGAGGCAGCAAAGAGAAGGCACAGGGGGTGGAGAAGAAGGAGCCAGGCAAGGCCTGTGGCAGTCCCGGCACGGTCCCAGCTTGGCCCTCCTTGCTGGCACTGACTGGGGGGCTGCCACCTTCCTCCTCACTTGGAGGGGAGAAGTGGATGATCCTGTGCCAGGGGCATCCAGCCACTCCTGGCAGAGAGCAGCAGGCTGGGCACAGTCCTCCATCAGGGTACAGCACTGTCTCGCCATGCTCCGTGCCATCTACCAGTGTTGTCATCCTTTAACACAACATGAACAAGTGCTCTGGTTACAATACACTGTGAACAAATCACATCTTCTAGTGCAAATGTAAGGTGAGATGGCAAATGTGTATCAAAAGCATAAAACAGGGGAAATGTTCTTTCTTTAAACTTCATATATATATATTTAGATACAGATGTATTTATTTCTTTATATTTATATTTTTTACAGTTTTTTTATACTTTTTGCAATCTCCTTCTAAAATTATTAAATAATTACAGTAAATTAAATCCTGAATAAATGCATTGGGCCTGAGACTAGTCAGAAGAAAGTATTACTTTCTAAAGCACTTGTTGGTATAATTTGCTTTCCTTCCCCTAACACTTTTGTAATTTCCGTATTTAAAACATACTGATAGCTCCCAGGACATGATATTGGAAAGTAAGTCTTGGAACCCCTGGAATGAGTATTAATTTATTTGACTGACCAAATAGAAAGGGAGACACAGGGAAACATCCTAAACATATAATGAAAAAAATGAGGAAAACCGGGACAGGAGAGGCCCCAGCGCTGTATTAAAATGGACATCGCCACTATATTAAAGCACTGTAGGGACACAAATTACAGGCTGTTGGAAATGAGATATCAGTATATACCTTCTACCCACCACTGTAAGGGACTAAAAGTGTTTGCAGAGAAGCAACCCAGTTAAGCCTGGAGTCAGGCTCTGCATATGTGGATTAGCATACATGACAAACAGAGCAATCCTAATTTATTCCATCTGGTTTTAGGCAATGCAGAACACGCCAGGACAGCCCTGACCGTCCCTGGCCCTGCCTTTGGGGTCTATATGCTGTTTACGGGATGATGTAAAGAGAAACCTCCCTCTGTTGCTGCTCCGAACTTGGAAACTGGCCCTCATAGAGGGCAGCAAGAGATTAACAGTGATTTCATTTCCTTCTCAGTTCCCTCACTTTTGGATCTCAGTGTCAAACAAACATCTGATCTGCAGTCATCATATCGGAACGGCAATCAACGTGTGTTGCGAAGGGTCAACCAAGGGTTGTGCAGCTCCAGCGCCCTGCATGCTGATTCCTGTTCTGCATTTCTCCAGCACAGCACAAAACAACAACCTGGCTCATCTGTGCTGCCAGGAGCCAAGCCCCTAGGAGACGAATGCTGAGGAGGCAGCCTGTGCTATCTTTGCAGTATCTTGAACCTTCATCATTGGGGTTATCGGGTTTACTAAAGCCAAAAGTCTCAGACATTCCTTCTAGTTTGAATCCTCCAAATTCCAATACCCTCCTCCTCTATCAGATTTTTCAGAATGCCTCTTCTTTCTTCTGCAGCTATAAACATGAACCCCACACGTCTGTCAAACAATATCACATCTTCCTTCTTGGCGTATCATCTCTTACTTTTGTTTCTATGCCAGACTGAGCAGTTCAGGAACTCACCCAATTTGTTAATCTCTAACACCATTGTGCAACCTTCCACACGTATCCCTGACTAGTTATTTGCTTCACAAAGACTGTCTTGTATGCCACATTCCTCTTCGGTTTGGGGCAAGGAGTGGCCACAAGAGACTGGAGCCATGTGGTGACTGGATAGGTACTGGTTTTCTGTTTGAAAGATTTGGGGTCTTTCACCCCCTTGGTTTTTCCTATCATTTTCAGATTTTCAGTCATGCCGAACAACCACGTGGGAATCCCAGACACCACGTGCTTCCCACAGTGCATTTAATTTCCGTACATTTAATTTCCTGTACATAGAAGACTTTTGGCTATTGCTGAGTTCATTATGCCTGTTGACATGCCCTGACAGCAGAAGCAACTTTGGCTACTGATGGTATGTTTGATGCTAATAAATAACGTGGTACAAAAAGCTTGAATTTTAGGAGCACATAAGCAAAGGCTTCAGTGCTAAAGATCAAATGTTTCCACTTACAGCAAGGCTTTTGCTGTGTGACTGGAAAATATTTTATTCAAGATGAATCACAGACCAAGACATAATTTTGTTAGTCACTCCGACTAACCAGAAAACAGGTTAGAGTAATGAGTACAATATCAGCTTTGTTAAGGTCCAGTAAAGAGTGGGAAGGACTGAAAACAACACTAGGCAGTAATTTGTAGGCAAAGTGTCTATAAGTGGCTGTGAGAGGGAAACATTACTAGCTGCTTATCTTGATGCAAATGGATTGTTCTTCACAATTAGGTGCTTTTGTTAGAGCATCACATTACAGTATGTTACTATTCCAGCCTCAAGGGCATGCAGATAGTCTGATGAGGCCAATTTGGCTGACAAAGTATTAGGAGGCTGCCAATTCCGTACAAACCCATTAGCAAAGATACAAAATATTGAATGGTCTCAAATTCATGGTGCGTTTTCAGGATTTTATTTTACTGGATCTCCAGGATCAAGGCACTGGTTCTTACTTTTTCTCCTTTTTTAGTTAAGAAAAATGAAACGTACAATGATTTTCAGAACCCATAAACTTACCAGCAGCACTTCAGTTTTGGGCAGCCAGCTCTGTCTGATTCATCTGACCATTGAAATGACCAGGAATTTTCAAATGCCACAGTTTTCCTAGGCATTATATCATTATGTGGCCACATCATTCCTCTGCCTCACTGGCTTTTTATTCCTTCAGGGGAACTATTCTGGATCAGGTTGAAACGTTCTCATGGGCTGGAACAACTCTAGTTTTTCAGTCAGGAAAGATTACTCTCTAACCAGCAAAAGCAAAGACACAAACAAACAAGTAACAGTACAGTTCGATGAAAATGAACATAGTGGTTTCAATCTGGTAGGAGGATCAAATGAGCTTTTTACAAAATCCTTTCACTCTAAAATAAAGCAGCTGAAGAAATTACATACTAAAGCACCTTAAAAGAGAAGAGACCAGGTTGCAAAACGCAGCAAAGGCAGGAAACGCCAGGAGGAAGCTTCCCGACCCAGACTCCGTCCTGTCCCCTCGTGTGACCAGAGTGGCTCCTCAGTGACAACTGCCCGCTCCCTGCCTGCTCCCCGGGCGGGCACTGCGCAGAGCTGCTGCTGCGCTCCTCTGCCTGCTCCCTGCCTGCTCCCTGCCTGCGAGCTGCTGCTCGGCTCCCCTGCAGCGGGCACCAGGCTCTGCAGTGAGAGGCTCCAGGTATCGTCCCAGCGGGCACTCCGCTGGCGACGCTGCAGGAACGGCGTCCAAGCGACATCTCAAGGCCCTCATATGGAGGGCTGTAGCAGGACACAGTCACCAATCAGGCTATCTCGGATACCAGCTAAGTCAAGCCCAACAACTTTGTCAGTGCCCGATTAAATCAGATCACCCTGTTGTGAGTCATAATGAACTGATTTTCCTGCTAGCTTGCTGCCTGTGACAGCCCTCGGGCTACTTTAATCTTCAAACACCAGCGGTCAAGATAAGAGCTGGTATTTTTTCTGCTTGTGAAAATCACGAAGTAGGCTACTTGCATTTCTTCCTGGGCTTCCCAGCATCCCCCAGCCAAGTCAAAACGGCATGCAGAAAAGAAATTGTTTCTCTGTTGGCATAGCTCATCAGCTCCTGATGCACAGGGACGGAGGCTGAAGTCCAGGGCAGAATGTCACCTTTGGGAGCATTACCCCAGCTAGCTCCTTCTCTCATTAGCAGGATGCTGAAGTAATGCCAATGTTTTTTCTTAACAAGGGCAAAAAAGTATTCCTGCTCCTGATGTCCTGAAGAAGACATCTTGAAGTGATGATTAATACAAATGGCACATTGGAACAAGGAGTAAAAAGCAAAGATTAAAGGTTTTTGCTTTCATGTACTTAAAAGTTTTCTTTGTTCTTTTCCTTAAAGAGACACCCATCCAAACACAAGAGCCTCAGTCTGCAATTTCTTTGTGGATTATGGCGGCAGTGACTGGAGTTCTTGCTTTCTACAGTATGCTAATAACTGCAGTTTTTATTAATTATTGGGTAAGAAATTACTATTTTCCTTTGCTCTGTGTGCTCTTTGTCCCTAGCTCATTTCTCAGGCTATACTTGCCATGTTTACCAATGACAGACCTCACTTCAGGATCACAGTTATTCTTCACCCCAGCTATATATGCGTACCCATGCTATGGCCCAAAAGAGTTGAAACACCAGGTTGGCAGTCAGGCCTCTGCAGTAGACCCCTAAAGCAAATAGTAGTGCGAGAGACACAGGTAGGGACAGAGTGTATCCTAAGCAAGTTTGCTGATGACACAAAAATGGGAGTAGTGGTGGATACACCAGAAGGCCATGCTGCCATCCAGCAAGACCTGGACAGGGTGGAGAGGAACCTCATTAAATTCAACAAGGCCAAGTGTAGGGTCCTGCACCAGAGGAGGAACAACCCCAGGCACCAGTAGAGGCCAGGGGCTGACCTGCTGGAGAGCAGCTGTATGGAGAGGGACCTGGGTGTCCTGGTGGATGACAAGTTGACCATGAGCCAGCAGCGTGCCCTGGCTGCCAAGAAGGCCAATGGGATCCTCTGGGATGCATTAAGAAGAGTGTGGCCAGCAGGTCAAGGGAGGTTCTCCTCCCCCTCTACTCTGCCCTAGTGAGGCCATATGCGTCTTGTCCCAGTTCTGGGCTCCCCAGTCCAAGAAAGATGAGGAGCTACTGGAGAGAGTCCAGCGGAGGGCTACGAGGATGGTGAGGGGACTGGAGCATCTCTCCTATGAGGAAAGGCTGAGGGAGCTGAGCTTGTTCAGCCTGAAGAAGAGAAGGCTGAGAGGGGATCTAATAAATGCTTACAAATATCTGAAGGGTGGGTGTCAGGAGGATGGGGCCAAACTCTTTTCAGTGGTGCGCAGTGACAGGACAAGGGTAACAGGCACAGACTGAAGCAGAGGAAGTTCCAGCTGAACACAAATAAAAACCTTACTTTGAGGGTGACAGTGCACTGGAGCAGGCTGTGCAGAGAGGTTGTGGAGTCTCCTTCTCTGGAGATATATTCAAAACCCACCTGGACAAGGTCCTGTGCAACCCGCTGTAGGTGACCCTGCTTGGGCAGGGGGGTTGGACTAGATGACCCTCAGAGGTCCCCTCCAACCCCTCCAATTCTGTGATAGTGTTGGCAGCACACCAGCAATACTGGGACACTGTCTCTAGCTCTGCCAATTGTCCCTGTCAGGGAAACATAGCACTATAAGCATTCCTGGCAAAACCCTTTGAGACTATACTGACAGAAGGAGCTCACCCACAGTAAAACAATCCTTAGGGAGCCCTCAGCTGGCCCAAGACCATCTGCACTGATGTCTTGTGGCTATCCAGCAATTCCCTTGAGTACCCACTATGTCTGGCAGCTTGACTGCAAGGGAATAGGAGCACCAGGATCTCAGCAGTCCCTCATCTGCCTCTGTACATTAACCCTAAGAAAACTGAGACATTCTTATGGCTCATTATTTTTGCTTTCTAATGTCTCTGTAGAGTTGGCTGGCCCAGGTCACATCCAGTTCTGCCTGTTAGAGCAAAGAGAAAGCGAGGTGTGATGCAGAGGCAGCAGAAGGACATTCTCCTATGCAAGTCTTAGGATCGTGATTTCCCAGAGCTGATTTACATTACTTAATCCATGTGGGAAAGATGTGAATGATGACCACAGAGAGCTCTGTTCCCGGCATTCTGCCTTTCCCCTGTATCTTTGCCATTAAATAGCGATTTTCAACACATTAACGGGTAACCTATAAAAAGGGCTCAGAGTCCTTGACAGGTTAAATGTTACATGTGTACAGAAAGCTACTCTCACTGCTAGCTGAAGCTTGAGATCTGTTAAATGTTTCACAAAAATACGCTTGCTCAGTATATGGCCATTCCTAATGGAAAACAATCAAATGGGGCATTGAAGCAGGAAAGCACAAAGGCAGGTTAAGTGGTCCTTCTTTGTGCCTTACTGCAGAGGCTGACCCCGAAGAGAGCTGAGAGGATGACAGCAAACGGCTGCTGGTGCTACAGTGCTGTGCTACAGTGGCTGTGCCCTGATGAGATACCGTAGCTTCAAATCCACCATTTAGAATCTGAAACATTTTCTCTCTGCTATATTCGTTTGGTAGCTAATGGCTACGCACTTTGCTACTAACATGTCTGCCCCCAGCAAGAGCAACAAGGCTGCATCGCGATGTGCGCTGTTTGCTGCATCAATTTTTACCTGCTGTTATTGCTGCTGGTGTTATTCTCCTGATAATACGTAGGCTAAGTGTGGATGGATTTAGAATGTTGCTGAATGTAAATACAGCTGCCTAGAAGACGTTGTGAATTGGAAGAAAAAGTCCTAAAATATGATACTTGAAGCCTATTTCACTTCAGTTCGCATAAGAAGCTAAAAATTTGTCTATTCTCAGAGTTCTGCCTTCCCTGGAGGAAAACTGCTTTCCTCTTCAAAAGTAGCGGTCTTTGATCCGGTGACAATCCAGCATTCACTCACGCTAGCAAAACCTCTTTCTCTCTTGCAAAATTACCGCTTAGGTGAATCCAGAGTCTTATATTAGGGAGAGGAACATGTACAGGTAAAGCTTTTATATCTAATGATTTACATACATTGACTGCATTGCATGGTTTAAGCAGTATGTAACTTACATTCAACTCCTTGCATATATAAAACATTAATATCAAAAAGCTTAAAATGTTTCATAGTAACTGCCCCACTATGCATGTATAGCATAATTCAGCCATCAGATTTTCTAATGCAAACCTCCTTCAGTTTCACAGCACCACAAGTATATTAGAGCATATGCAAATATTTATGTACTTAGGAAGGAAATTTCAATAAAAATGAGAATGCAAAAGAAGGTATGATCAGAATTAAGGAAAAACCATGGAAGCACTTAGCCTCTGATTAATAAAGCCTTAAACTAAGCAAAAACACCAATCTTGCATACAGCCAGCAACAGTCAGGGGTTCAAATGCTGCTGCAGCCACAAACTTCCTCTGTAATTATAGGCAAATTATTTCACCTGTCTTCTGTTACTCTTCTTTCTGACAGAGAGGCTGCCTCCCTTGTCTCACAGGGGCATTATAAGGCAGGAATTCAACAGCGGAAAAGAGATTTTTGAGTCCCAGATAGTGAGACAGAAAAGATTAACATGAGTTCTGATTTCTTTTGCCCCTTGAAGGAAGGCGCAGAATAACATATACATTGCCCATTACTGCTGTAAATTGTAGTCCAACCATGATACACATAGCCTGGGCTGATTTTTCCTGCTCTTATTCTGCATGAGTTCAGGTAATTTCTTTTGTTCTCCTGATAAATGAGGACAGCCTTCAGTGAAACTGTATTGCTTCTGCTGAGTCATTCCACAGCTGAGAATTGATGGTGAGAGGCATCAGTTTGTATCCTTGGTTTGCAGCATTCCTTTACCTGGAGAACTAACACTGTGAATCTCTCAGCAATATAAGCTGGAGACTTGCATTTAGGCTGGGCAAATTCCATAGATTATTTTATGAGGATGCGTGTTTTAATTCTTTCGTAAATGTATTTAAACCTGAGGGCTGCCTTATAAATGTGCCAGCTTCCCTGAACCAGGGCCTAGGGCCAGAACTGTCAGCAGTTAATACGAGAATTGGGTGAGACAATTTGTTAATTCAGCGAAGGAAAAATTAATAAAATCCATTATTAACTTCTCTTAGGTCTTATTAACAGTCAAACCCCCTGTGTTCCAAGGATCTCTGTTACCTTTCTTCTTCTCCCTTTTTGAACATTCACTCCAGGCAGGACAGACTAATTTGCAGAAAAGTTTTCACACTTCTCTTCCCCATTCTCCCACAGCAGAAATCAAAAAAAAAAATGTACCATCAGAGTGACTACATGAACATGACTCCCCGGCATCCACCATACCAGAAGAACAAGGGTTACCCCTCCTATGCGCCAACACGTGACTACACTGCATACCGGTCCTGGCAGCCGTGACACCCATCGGTAGCCTCGTGTGCTTCTAGGCAGTCACTTGCTCTTGGACGTGGAAGGACAGCCTCTCATTTTCTCATCATGTTTGTCGTTATTGATCACAGATACCTACACCATAGCAAGTATTGTCTAAACTTTGATATACTATACTAAAAGAAAAAACAAACAAACATAAGGCGGGGGCGGAGAAAAAAGGATCTCCATGATGGTTGAAAATGAGATACAGCTTGTGTTGAGGGTTGTCAGTAAGTAAGACAGAAAGATGGCACCAGACCTCAGAGTTGGTCTCCTCCTAACACTTGTAGTTTTGCTCCGCTGTTGGGAAAACCAGAACTTCTGACCTTTCCCAATAACTGCTGCCTTAGATTTAAACCTTATTTTCCTTTCTTGTATGTCTAATCCTCATAAACCCTTGTTGTAGTTATATCAGGCAACATGTTAAAAAAAAAGAAGAATCCCTTCTTCCCTATAGACCAGGGCACAGTTTGAAGTTCAAAACACATGCTTGAAAGAAAGAGGGAAAAGTCAGCCAGAAGGCATCACAAGCTATTAGGCTGTGGCAAAAATGGGCTGCCAGGACAAATCAAGCTGATGATAGAAAACGACTAAACTTTCAACTTGTGAGTCCTTAGGTTGGACACTTTGTAAATGTTCCTAAGGCCATTTGAAGTCATGAGCAAGCAGCTCCACAGAGTGAGAAAGTAATCAACCTGAAGACAAAATCAAGACAAGCAGGAGAGGAAGAAAGATCTGTTGTTGTCATGAAGAGCCCCACTTCTGTTTTGTTTGCTCCTACAGCAAGGGGACACAACATCATATGGGAAGCATTAGAAGACACAGACGTCAGATTCTGAGGAGAGCTTTACTTCCATATTTGAAATTTTGTTTCTGTCCAAAAGACATTCTGCTGAGTCCTCCTGAAAATCCACGCATATCTTCTACACCTAGGTTGTACCACAGCTGTTTTGAAAATCTGGGTCCAGTAATGAGCAATTAAAGATTCCTTGAATTTTTTTCCACAACACAAGCACCCACTTATTGGGAGGTGAGAGCGTCCTTTGTTCCCACCATTGTGATTTGGACCTGCAAGTGCTCAGCTGTCTGCAGGGACTGCTCTGGGCACTTCGAGGAGCTTTGTGTTGACTGGAGGTTACCTTTCTATCTGAAGATTTTCTTCAGGAATGCTCCATGCTGGAGTAGGACAAAGTCTTCAGCAAAACCTTCTTCATTCCTTCAATTAAGCATGTTTACATTAACAAGACATCCTACACTGTAATTGGGGTTGTCTTGGCATAAAATCCCTTTGCATACTGAGGAGATGGGGTTTATTTTATAGGGACTACTAAAAAATAATAAATCAATAAAAAATAAATCCATATTCCCACCTTGAAATAAAATTGGGATCGTACAACATTTACTTTCCTCCAAATTGGGGTAAATGATTCCTTCTCTCCTTGAGGGGACTTGACAAAAGTAGAGACGTGGAAGTGTGGCAACAATCTGTTTTGATTACTCAACACAAGAAAAAAACTTTGGCACTTCCAAATCGGAAGTTTTGTTGGAGTTTGCTGACTGGGCCCCAAACCATTCATTCTGAGTCATATTGCCATGTTCCAGGAGGGTGCTGTGCCACCTCCAGACAGCGATGAAGTGCCTGCTGTCCCCGAGCCAGGGACAGCTCGGCCAGGGCAGGGCGCAGAGCCCACAGCGGCAACAGCAAGCGAGGACTGACTGT